CACCCAGTCTCCAGAAATGTCACAAAAAAGCGCTAATGTTTCGCTTTGCAGGATTGTAAAGCTATTTAAAAAAAATAAGGGAAAAACACCTTCCCTCCCACACTCTTCCCCACCCCACCACTCAGCCACCCAGGCCAGGCTGGACTGCAGTTATCTGTTGATTAGGAAAAGAGATCCCCTCCCAGTAGATGCACATGAACAGCTTAAATATTAGTGGCTACTATTTGAGAAGATGCTCCAATGATAGTCCCTCTTGGAAAGTCATATGGCTCATTACGCAACCATCTACTTTTCCTTGAAAACAAGAAAAAATTTTTTGCCAGTCAGCCTTCCTCCCTTGAAAGCCAGATATGGGTTATAAACTAGTGACAATCACTACTACTAGACAATCAAAGACTGCTACACCCCCCCCCCAAAATGCCCTCCACTCTCCAGTGTTTCCTTAGAAAGCTTGTTAAGGCATTTACCAGCCGCTTCTGATCCCAGCAGTGTTATATGACTGAAGAACATTGCCACATAAAGTACTAAGTTGTAAATATCCTCTTTAAAGAAAAATATGGCGGTTGTCATCTAGTTCACAGCATTGGAGCTCTCTGCCATTGCATTTGGCTTTTCTTTCTTTGTCCACCCTTGGGTAGAACCATATGTTGACTAGGCATTTGGACTCCCATGGTTTGTTACCTTTAAAACTATGGTTCTCAATCTAGTGGTTAAAAAAAGCTTAAGGTCATAGGGTCTACATATAGCTTGTGCCATATTCTCGAATAAATGGAATTCTGACTAGGAAAATAAAATCTTTTCCTCCAAAAAGGTCCAATCCAGTCCAGAATGGCTGCTATTCAACGAGAGCATCAAGTCGGCCTTGCCTTCTGAGAGGCAACGGAATGGATATGGTCATAAGCCAACTATCCAAAAAACACACACTTTCGAATTCAGCCTAGATAAGGCTAAAGAGTCCTCATTTGGGTTTTTGAAGCAGCTGCCACAGGGTGATTCTAATCAACAAGAGATGAAAGAAATTAACCCTCTACAAAACGAAAAGTGAAAGGTCTTCTAGTGGTTTTATTTTTTAAATTAAGACAGTGATCGTGCTAAAAAACCTGCATCTGAAGAACACATGAAGAGGAGTGTCCAATCAGGCTGAAGGGGGCGGGTGTGTCTGAACTCTTCCCAAACTTTTTGTTGTCTGCAACATGGCAAGCTGGACGGACCCCAACATTTCTGAAGCTATGTTCACTGAAAAAAAACTGGATAGACCCACTTTTGAGGGTAGCTCTTTGTCAGAGCTTTTTATGCTAGATCTGCAGAAATTCCACTAGAGGAATGATTGGTACTCTCTACGCTTAGCCCACCCCCTATCTTTAGGGCGCCACAATTACCTTGACCACAACGTTTCAAGGCAAAAAGATCCGAAGTCAGTTTATCTCGCTCATTTGCGTAGCTGTCTGGACAGTCAGGTAGATTTCCAGGAGTTTTGGGGAGGATTGGTGAAATAATCAAAACCTCAAGATAAGTGAGTGATCTATCAAGCTGATGGGTTCATGGACCGCTTTGGTGAGGGTCTACTGGTACCTAACCCCAATATGACAGGCACTTATTTCCACACGGTTGGACCTCATGGTTAAAATTCAGTCTACAGAAAAAAAAACAAAAAAAAACAAAACAGCAACACAGCTGGGTCACCTGTACCCTACAAAGTGCTTATGTCTCAACATAGCTTTCAGATCCTAGAATGTCAGTCAAACCCTGTTTGTCTCCATGTGTAGTTCTCATAGATCATAATCTCCCACCACCGAGGATCTCCATTAGGCAGAGCATGCATTAGTCTTTGCAGGTATAAACTTCTTCTCTTTGAGTACACTGCTTGCACTCTACGTAGCAGCACCAGCGAACCTGGCACTGGCACGGCCGTGTGACCACCCTGCTCTGTGTGTTGTGACCTCGGCCGCAGCAAATGCTCTCGCAATTCTTGTCCTTGTAACATTTCCTTCCTGAAGTCCCAGGCGAATACCTGCTCATCAGACAGAAACTAGGGGAATCGTCAATGTAGACAAGATCTGTAGTCCTTGGGATTTGATCGCTGTGGCCAGGGGTGGATTTCTTGGGTGGCGAGATGTCCCCTTCCCCCGTGGCCTCGTTGGTGGTGCTGCCCACTTTGAGTGACGTCTCATATTTCTGCTTCAGCTGCTTGCCGATCTCATGGAACGGAGAGAGCTGCCGCCAACACGTTCGGACAGTGCAGGATCCGGACACACCATGGCACTTACAAGTAGTCTCCACACCAGCTTTGATGACCTGCAAATAGAAGAACGAAGCCTAAGAGAGTCACTTATGGGAGCAGGAGAAATTTAACCACAGAGCAAACAGACAGTCTACAGGCTACCCTGTGAAACCAGGAAATCATGGCAATACAAAAAGCGATCTCCTGGCTGGAGCAGGAACCTCGGGGGAGGGGCACAGTTCTTTTCCTGGTTCTGTCCCACGGATTTTAGCCAAGTCATTTAACTTCTGTATCTCAGTTTCCCTGGCCTCCCAGGGGAGTTGCAATGCTTAACTAGTTAATATCTGAAGTGGTTAGGAATCCTGTGGTACTAACCTGGAGTTTATTGTTACCCATTATATTTGCACAGGTAGATTTTTTTGAAGCTGGGAGGAATCAGGGGTTGTATATTGCAGTGGGATCATTCTTGTGTTCATGGTTAATACAACGTTCACCTTGCTTATCATTGTTACCATTCGCCCTTCCAGGGTAAGTTACCAAAAGCTACCAACGGCTAAGCAAAAAAGTAATTTCTAAGACTCTTAATTTGGATGGGTTAAATGTAATCCTTTGTTACAAGTCTTAGATTCGTACCTCTAGTAGCCCTCTGTTGGGTCAGAGTTCAGTTTTTCCTACAGTGGTGGTCCATAGACCACCAGTGGTTTGCACATCAGTTGGTCACATTGTGGAGGCTTTCCTCCATTTCCAGTAACTACATTGCATTAAAGACAGCTAAACACTTTCCACCATCTAATCACAGGCAGATAAGCAATCATGAATAGAGGGGGAGCACCCACAGGAGTGGAGGGCTACACTTCAAAAAAGTTTGAGCCTATAGTGCTAGTTTCAGATGTGTCACTTACAGTAATTTTAGTGCAACAATGCCCATTTTGAGACAGACAGCCCAAATTGGCAGCATCTGGGACCACCAGAGAAGTGGCTCACTAGGTTTCAGACCACACGACACACTGTCCTACTGGTAGGCATGAGGTTCTGGAGGGATTTAAGACCTAGTGCAATGTCCTGTTCTCAGGATGAGCATACGGAGAACAAGTTACTGTGTTTTGAAGCGGGGTAAGAGAGGAAGCAGGAGAAGACAGCTGTGAGGTTCTAAAGGGCTACAGATTTGACATTACGCTCCATGCTGAGGCCACTCAAAACTTCATGACTGGAATTCTGCCTCCACCTTCCTTCTCCAGAAAGCATAGGGACCCTATCACGAGTGCACAGAACCTGCATTAGCAGGGTGGCACCTATGGAAACACAGCTGAGCAGTTCAGACTCCAGCGAGCAGATGCCAATAGTATACAGACACCGGTCAGGTGAGTACGTCAACAGAACACCTTTGCATACAACTAACGTCAGAGGGTTCCCTCCAGTTCATGATCTTATTTTAGAGGTCGACAGCTCACCCAAAGAGTTGCCAGAACTTACAGCAAGAGGTCATGAGCGCGTATGTTCTCACAAAGTATCACTGCTTACTGGCCAAGCGCAGGTTTAAATGAACCATGCTGTAATTTGCTATGAAACCCCAGGACGCCCCTTTGTTCTTGCATCTCGAAAAGGAGAGGGTCAGATGGGAAAGGATGGAATACATTCGTGTATGTGAACACCATGATCTCACTGTCCGTTGCAGAGCTGGGCAAATAACTGATTTTTTGATTCACTGGCAGTTAAAAAAAGTTTGCTTTGAGTCAAGCTGAAACCAGAAATTTGGGGGAAGGAAGCAAAGGGCTAGATTTACAGGGGAAGTAGGCACCATTAACAAAATGGAGAAGGAGGAGATGTCCCCCACCCCCATAACCACTGGGCTCTTGGGTAAGGCATTCACCTGGGATGCAAGACCCAGTTTGAATCCCCGCTCTGGAGTCATAATTGGAAACTTGTTAGCCACTGGGCTGGGTTGTGGAAAGGACTAAATGGACCATTTCAAGATTTCTGAACCTGCCCCCTTTCCTGAAGCAATTTTCCAAAAGAGACACCAACTGGCAAAATGTTTCAACCCAAATCAGCATTTTTCAGTGCAAAAAAGGTTTCACCCAGCCCTAGTCAGCACATGGGGTTAATAATTCCCATAGTCAATGCTACAGGCAAGGACCAAGTTGTTAAAAACCTAGAGCCTTCAGAAGCAATTCTGCATATGTCACTAGGCTATGTTGTTACCTGTGCAGGGTCAGATTCCCTCCCAATTATACAGTATATGGTACTCCACAGATCTCAATGGCGTTCTCAAAATCCAGTTGGTGTAAGAGGCCCATGGGCCCAAGCCTCAGTCTGAGGGATCCCAAATAGTGGGAACTATGAGGAAGTTGAGTGGGGTAGGAACAAAGGCCTTGCCTTTAATCCAGAAGTGGGTGGCTTCATACAAGAGACATATTAATGGAGCCGGCTACTTGTTCTCTAGACACATTGCGGTCATGTGGAAAGACCCATCATGATGAGAACCTCCATTACTATCCCATAGCACAGAGAAGCCCACTACAGATCTCGGTGGGATGCAGGATGCACAGGGCCTATACCAGGGGTTCTCAGGACAAATTTTTTGGTGGCCTCAGAGTGCAGCCACCAACTCTGCCTGGTGGCCACTCTCTCCCTTTTTCCCTAAAGGATTTAATTAGCTTTCGGAAAAATCAAATAAATATGCACATCGAAATCATTGTCATTTATTTATTGCTCGCTAGTAAGTCTGCTTTGGGAGGGGATATTTGCAAACATACAAGTATCACTTCTCAAAGCAGACTTGCTCAGCCCTGGCCAGCCTGGGGACAAATTAAGTCCAGGGGGCGGGCAAGGGGAGATGGGGGAAGTTAGTGAGAGCTGGAGCCCAAAGCCCTGAGGCCAGAGCCCAAAGTTCTGCAGCCAGAGCCCAAGGATGGAGCCCGAAGCCAGAGACCGCTGCCCTGCCGCCCTGGAGCTGAAGCCCAAAGCCTGAACCCCATTGCCCCTGGGAAGGTGGGGGACTCACCAGCTGCCTGTTCCTCCAGTGTTGTGCCTCAGGTGACTCCAAGGGGGGGGGGGGGGCAACCCCTGCTGGCAGCCCCAGCAACCAACACTAAGGCGGTGCATCCAGGATAGCAGGAACTACTTTGCCCTCCCCATCCCTCCCAATCACAGCCTCGGCTTGTGGCCAGAAGAAAAGCCCCTGGTGGCTGCATGTGGCCACATTTGAGAAACATTGGAGAAACACTGGCCTATCTGGTGTTTGGCCTCCACTCCACAGTAGAACCATAGTTTAAGCTCTTCTGGCCCTTCCAGGGGTAGGATTTGACCCAGAGTGCGATGGCAACTGAGGCTGGGAATCAAAGGCCATTAGTTTGCAAAGGGTCTATGACTGAGTGGCAGAGCCACGGGCATGCCATGCAGGTCTGCCGAAGACTTCAAGTCGCCACAGTGACTCACGTTGCCTCTTCTGTCCTTTTTAGTCTACCTTTCATCTCCCACTTCCCTCCAGAGCATGCTAGTTGGGCAAATCTTGGAGCCTCTTCCCACATAGTATGTTACAGAGCGAGCCTACACAATCTTGTGACAAAAAGGTCAGGATCATCATCATAATTATCCCTACTGTAGAGATGGGGAAACTGAGGCAGGGAGCTGAAATTACTTATCCAAGTCGCCCAGCAGGCCATTGGCAGAGCCAGGAACAACCTAGGTCTCCTCAGTTGGAGTCCATTGCTCTACCCAGTGGGTCACAACCCTGGGGGAGCAGGGGAAACCAACTGCTTTCGAAAGAGGCCACATTTGCATGATTTCAACCCCCCCCCCCAAAGGAGGGGCAGTTCCACTTGAGTCCTTCAAACTCCAAGTTGGGGGTGGGAAGGAGGCAGCGGCTTAGAAACCCTGCAAACTGAAACCAAAATGGACACCTTCGTATAGGGGGTCTCGTGTCAGATTCTGCCCTTGTTTAAGCCCAGTGACTTCCGTGGGGGTGCAAGGGTAGTGTTTGGCCTGGAGGTGAGTTTATTTCTTCACTCTAGTGTTCCAATCTTCCACCATCACATCCCATTGCTGCAGAAAGGCGGAGGTCAGAGGATGGAGACATCAGAAGCAGAATGTGATTTTTAAGCAGGGCTGGGGGGGAGGGACAGACAGAAAGACAGGATCTATTTCCAAGGTGTATGCACACCCATCAACCTAGGGAGTTCTTCCTGTTGCAGCTTTAATTTGAACATGGGTTGTTCTTACTTCGCACACATCAAAATAATTCAGAGTTAAGTAGGAGTAGAGGTTGGGCAATGGAAGGAATGTGTTTTCATAGGCGATGGCGTGGGGAGACGGCAAGATGCAGGTGCTGCTGCACGAGTGGCCTGGTTTAACGGAGGAAGCCAGAGGAGGCTGGTGCTAGGTGAACGCAAGGAGAGGAGAATAAGGGCCAAGTTCTCAGCTGGAACAAAGCACCGTCGCTCCACTGACTGATTCATACGAGCAGAGGATCTGGGCCAATTTGAAGGCATTATTTACCAGACGGTGCCAGAGAGAATTCCTATTACCGGAGCCCATCCACCTCAGAAAGGGCTCTCTAACCTGCTCCTCCACCCATCCTTCTCCACAACTTCTTTGTGGCTGCTAGGAAAACCACGTGGGCACCTTAATTGGACAGTCATGGGCAGCTTGTACTTTTCATGGATTGTAATAATTATATTTTTATAGTTCTAGTTCTTCCCCCGCTCTCCCCAGAGGGCAATACAATGCCACCACCACATTTTCCACTAGAGAGACTTTGTTTTTACTCTAAACGGACAAGCTATAACCATCCCTTAAAATAGCAAAGGGGAACAGTCTGTTTTAGAAGCTCCCTCCCGTAAAAGGTACCACTGCTGAGCACTCTTCCTTTGGGCCATCTGGCTTTATTCAGTATCTTGAAATCAACCTTCACGTCCCCCTCCCGCCCATTATGGTGTCAGCCTACGTTACAGCCCCACAACAGCAGATGACTGGCTCAAATCCATTTTCCCGACCAACGGGTTCTTAGTTACTTGGCAGCACGAATCCCAAGCACCACATGCAAATTTGCAATAGGTCATGGACTTGGGAGCTG